GTAGTAGTAGTAGTAGTAGTAGTAGTAGTAGTAGTAGTAGTAGTAGTTAGTAGTATGTAGCATGTAGGATGTAGGATGTAGCATGTAGGTAGGAGGTAGCAGGTAGGAGGTAGGAGGTAGTAGGTGGTAGGTGGTAGGTGGTAGGTAGTAGGTAGTAGGTACTACTACTACTACTACTACTACTCAGCTTTAGCTCCAGTCAGCTCTAGCTTTAGTTTGCTCTAACTCCAGTCAGCTGTAGCTCTGGTTTGCTTTAGCGCCAGGTGGATCTCGCTCTAGTTAGCTCTAGCTTCACTCTTCAACATGCATTTTGGAAGGAAGTCTCGTACAAAATGCGTGTTCGAGAGATAGCGGACGCACGAAATGCGGTGTTTTTCAAAACAAAGGGTGGTTCCGAACCTGGCAAGGCTAGCTCTGCGGAACGACGGTTGCGGAATGGCCTCGCAGTCCCTCCATTGTAACTAGTTCACCTGTGTCTTGTGCGCATTTCGACTGCACAGGCTCACACAGTCTGGGTGCCCCGGGCGGGTGCATCTAACGACTGCGCTCCCGTTGTGGCGCCGTGCGCGTTTTCGCACATGGTGGTCACTTTTCGTGGCAGGCGCAGGGGAAACCTCGTGTATTGGTGCTTCAAAGTCGACTTTTCGTGACAGGTGCAAGGGATCGGAGCTGTTTTACTTCGAAAAGCAGTTTTCGTGGCAGGCGCAGTACTTTGGACATGCTGGTGGTGATCGTCGAGGAGCTCAGATTTTGTGACAGGTGCAGTGAATCGTGACTTTTGGACATATGGCTCGTTTGCAAATGTCGTGGCAGGCACAGCACTGGGCGAACCTCGAAGAGCAGATTTCGTGGCAGGTACAGGACTTGGTGAACCTCGAAGTGCAGATTTCGTGGCAGGCACAGCACTTTGCGAACCTCGCAGTGCAGATTTCGTGGCAGGCACACCACTTCATAAACCTCGAAGTGCAGATTTCGTGGCAGGCACACGACTTGGTGAACTTATGGGGGCTCTCATGGTAAGGGACCACGTTGGTGTCACCCTGAAATATAAAATTATCTATTCTGGGGTAGGGGTACATACCCAACAATTATTATTCCAGGGTACTGGGGTAGAGTAGGAATAATTTCAGCTGTCGAGTCTAAATTCATGTTGGAAAGTTGTTGGAAGCACCTGCCTTTCCACCATGTGGTCTCAATACAGATTATTCCTGGGCGCCTGCCACCTCCAGGTGCCCAGGAATAATTAACTCACAGTCGATGCGAGCGATGTCGACCTGGAAAGTGTGAATATTCTCAGAGCAGTTTGATCTATGCACTCCTGACAGGATGCGTTACCTGATGTTACCTGTGCACATGAAACCTGAGTGAGGTGGAGGTCAAGGCCTTTTCTTCATGTATACATATATAATTGAAGTGTGATTGATTTAGCCAGCATCTCTCGTGGATACACACACATCTCAGGCGCAACGCAGCTCATGGCCAGTCTTTGCAAAGAAATATTCCATTGTGACTGGCACATCTCTGGCACAATTATTTCAAATTACTTAGCGTCGAGGTTAGTTGTGATTATTATATAATCTGAGGTGACCCCCACCCCCCTGGCACAGGGACCCCAAGCAAATTATTCCTGATGAGCATTCGAGAAAAATATTCAAAAAAACTATTCCTGTCACGAGCACCCCTGAATAATAATTTAGGGGAGGGCCCACGTGAACCTCGAAGTGCAGATTCCGTGGCAGGCACAGCAATTTGTGAACCTCGAAGTGCAGATTTCGTGGCAAGCGCAGCACTTGGTGAACCTCGAAGTGCAGATTTCCTGGAAGGCGCAGCACTTTGTGAACCTCGCAGTGGAGATTTCGTGGCAGGCACAGCACTTGGTGAACCTCGGAGTGCAGATACCGTGGCAAGCGCAGCGCTTGGTGAACCTCGAAGTGCAGATTTCGTGGCAGGCGCAGCACTTTCTGAACCTCGAAGTGCAGATTTCGTGGCAGGCGCAGCACTTAGTGAACCTCGAAGTGCAGATTTCGTGGCAGGTACAGCGCTTGGTGAACCTCGAAGTGCAGATTTCGTGGCAGGCGCAGTACTTTGTGAACCTCGGCGTTGGACTCAGAAGTTTGTAGTACAAATCTAGTACGGGAAAGGTGAGCCTTTCGGAGCTGGACTGAGAAGTGGCCAGTTTGTAATACAGATGTAGTACGGGAAAGAGCTTTTCAGAGCTGGACTCAGAAGTGGCCAGTTTGTAGTGCACATGTAGTACGGGAAAGAGGTTTTCGGAGCTGGACTTAGAAGTGGCCAGTTTGAAGTACAAATTTAAAACGGGAAAGAGCTTTTCGAAGCTGGACTCAGAAGTGGCCAGATTGTAGTACAAATGTAGTACGGGAAAGAGCTTTTCGGAGCTGGACTCAGAAGTGGCCAGTTTGTAGTACAAATGTAGTACGGGAAAGAGCTTTTCGGAGCTGGACTCAGAAGTGGCCGGTAACCATCAATCATCCCGCTCACCAGCGACACGCCGCGTTTACACCAGCATGTTTCGCGCTCCCCAGTGGCACGGCGCCACGCAAAACGCACGCCCCACCAAGGCCGCGCAAGTCCGCGTGGCACTGCGACATCACGAACCCAATTTCGCCACACTGTCTGCCCACACACTAGAAGCAAACATATCACATGATACCGCCAATCATCCCGCTCACCAGCGACACGCCGCGTTTACGCCAGTGTGTTTCGCGCTCCCCAGTGGCACGGTGCCGCGAACGCACTTTCCACCAAGGCCGCGCAAATCCACGTGGCACAGCGACATCGTAGTTTCGCCACACCGTCTGTCACAGACTAAAAGCAAACGCTTCTGAGTCCAGCTCCGCAACGCTGTTTCCCGCACTACATTGTCACTACATTGTACTACTAACTGGCCACTTCTGAGTCCAGCTCCGACAAGCTCTTTCCCGTACTACATTTGTACTACAAACTGACAAACGGTTCATCCCTCAGTTTCGTTTTCGTTTGCAACTCTTGCGTTATAATGCTTACTCCTACTATGCTTTCGGGCCACCCTGTCGTCTAGTTTTGTGAGTTTTAGGTTGGCGCCAAATAAATATTTCATTGATTATTTTCTTTTGTGATTTTGTTATGATTTTGTTATGATGTTGATGCACTGTGGGTTATGTTTTTTTATGGTTTTTTTATGCGTGTTAAGGAGCCCTTGAATTTGATATGAATATGTTTATGATTTTCTTATGGTTTTAAACTGCCACCAAAAAAGTATTATGAAAAAGATATGGTTTGAGAGTGTTTTTTGAGTACTTCTAAAAGATCGCCATATAGTTGTGCAAATATGGTGCGAATATGTTTGCATACTTGAAAAAAAGTGGTTTGGTTAAGAAACTAAGTAAGTAAGCTTCACTAGCGAAGGGAAGTTGTTGAACATTCCAAGGAGGCACCCCAATGCTCATGCCCAAGCAACGTAGGGACGCTTGGCGTCCTTTCTGTTGATTAGCTTATTAGTAGCTATTGAGCTATTGCCTTACAAATCCTTCTGCCTAGGACCCGAAGGAAAGGTGTGTAGTAGAGAAGGAAAGGTGTACTGTCCTAGTGACCCGAAGGAAAGGTGTACTCCCCCAGGCGCGTCCTAGGCCAAAGGTTAAAGCCTGAACCCTAAACCCTAAACCTCAAGCGTCAAATTTTTGAGGTGACCCAGGCAGGGTGAGACCACCTGCAGCCCACCATATCAAAACCATAACAAAATCATAACAAAATCATAAAACTAATTCCCAGACCCATGTTTTTATGATTTTGATATGCTTTTGATATGATTTTGTTTTGCGTGGCCTTATGGATTTCTTATGTTTTTGTTATGCTTTCAGACGACCAATGGTTCTGAGATATGGGTTGCTTGCAGTTCCTAGGTCCCAGGCCATGGGTGGATGGGTAGTTTAGGGCCTAGGGCCTAGTATAGAACCTACTGTCCTAGGCCCTAGGCCAAGGTGTGCACTAGACCCAGGTGTGCTGTTCTAGGAAAGGTGGGAACTCATGTATGAAGGCCAACTCCTCTCTGCCTTCATTAGTGAAGAGGTTCCTTTGGGAACACTAGTCACTAGTCATTAGTTAGTTCTCAAAACCCATCATACAATAGAGACTATTCTATTCCTGAGTAGTTTTTAGTTGCATTTAAAACCAACCAGAAAACGGATCAAGAGACTTGCAGAATAACAAAGATTTTTCGCAGTTTACCATGTTTTTCTGAAAATGTATTTTCTTTCTTTGTAGCAGAGGAAATCTTGTGAAAATACACCACAAGTTTGGCTGAACACACATCTCAACTACCATGTTTTGCAACCCAAAAGGCTCTGTATATGTGAAATTGCAGACCTCAAAGAGCATAACGAAACCATAAGCAAATCATATCCAAAAAACAAGCCCACCAAAAAATCATAAAACATCATAAAGTCAATCGTAACCAAATCATAAGGAAAACGTAAAAAACATAACAAAATCATAAAAGAAAATAAGTTAAATCATATTTTTGTGGCCTACCTCAAAACTCACAAGTCTAGTTTGTTAACAGGTCAGCTTGTACTTATGGTTGAAGGTTTTGGCACAGTTCATACTCACAGTCTTTGGTTGCATTTATTATTGAGACTCTGGTTGCGCATGTATGACAGGTTGTACATGCAAATTTGGAGTCCTGTGTAACTACATTCACTCCGACGTGTGGTGGTGTGACCCGCATGCACAGCGCCAGAGCGACTACGCCGTTGTGGGCTGCTTACATGACGCCATCGTTGTGGGCCGGGAAAAAAGGGGGTCCGCAGGGCATGTGCGCAGGGACACTCCTATAGGTCAAATTGTTTTTATAGGAAACTTCCGCCGCCGGCTTGCCAGGGAACTGCTTGTAGCGTCCTTGCTGCTATCACAAGATAGCTCGGAAGTGCCTGGCCACCACTGGTTGGATCGCAGATCTGTAGGCTTCCTCCACACGAGAGGCATCGATTTCGGCACAAATGACATGCTTCACAGCTGAGCTGGGCACCTCCAAGGCACTCGTGAAGAAGTCCAGCGCCCGTATTTGATCCAGGATGATGAGACGACTGCAGTGCGACGAAAGGAAAGGCAGTGAGACGACGTTAGTTCACCAAAAGGACAAGTGCTGGCAGTTCTATCTCACAGCCTGCCAAAGAGTTGAGCTGCTCGACTTTCCAGGATCGGTAAAGCCTCTCAAGAGGTGTTTCAAGAGTCACAAGTCACCGACCTGCGAGAAAGAACCATTGGCAAGGCAAGACATCTTCTGAAATGATTTTCACATATTTTCACGCATCAGCAGCTGTCAGAGTCTTGTGCTCATTCGCTCAATCAACTATGAATCGACATCAGCAGGCAGATTCATCGCTGGCGCCTGGGCCGCAACTTGCTATGCTGTTGTGGTGACATCACACCGTCTTTGCAAAACCTAGAATCGACTCATGCGACTCTGAGATGCTTGCTCTCATGCGACTCATCGTTCAAAATCTGAGCAAAAAAATGCACACCGTGGCCAGAGAGGCGGACGCAACGTTTTTCAGAAGAGAAAGAAGCAAAAGCACATGACTAAATCACAGCGCCTCCCACTCGAATTCTATCTTTTGATGCCAAGTTTCCTGACGAAGGTCCAGTCCAACACATGCAGGTCCAGTGGAGAGTGCTGTCTTGGGCCAAATGGGCGTCCTCGGCTTCCCGTGCGACTGTGAGTATTGCCTCGGTGGCAGAAATACATGACACGGTTGGTGGCCATTGCTGTTAGGTTCGAGGCCATCGCTAGTAGGTTGGAGGCCATTGCTATTAGGTTGAAATACATTTGCTGCATGACGCGGTGGCATGAAAGACTCCATCACTTCGTCTGAGCTGGATTTCCCTCTCCCACCTCTCGGCAGAGATAGAACTCCTCCTGTATTCGGAGGGTGTCCAACCCCGGCCTTTGGGCATTTCACTGTGCTTCACGGTCTGCCTTCAAATGCTTTGCTGAATTAATGGTTCGACAATCCAGGCCAGGCCTGAAGGGGTTCTCCAATGCTATCGCCTTTGCCCAAAGATGCCCGAAGCAATGCATGGCAATTTGGGCAGCTTCAAGTCCTTGCCCAGTCGCCACGTTCAGAAGTGCGACCAGCGTCGTTGAAAGAAGGCCTGCCATGTCGAACAAATAGACACATGGCCCACCATGGTGTCAGGGGATGCCAGAGTGAGTGTCACGAGGGCTGAATGTTGGGCCAGCAGCGAAATTTAGTGCCAGAGGCTAAGGAAGCAAGCAAACCAAAGAGTGCTCAAACAGGCTAGGCTCACATGAGAACAAGCAAGCAAATATCAGCCGTCCACGTACAATGTCGCCGTCTTCATCTTGGCCGAGCTTCTCATGGCTAGTGTTTTGATATCTTATATACCTATTGCAATGAGCTGGTCCAAGAAATGACTCAGCTGCAGACTTCTGGCCAAGTGCACGTAGTATGGCCTGCATTCTACAGCAAGTTCGTATCGCCGTTGCAATAATACCAGATGTCAATCAAGTCCAGCTCCAAACCCGGAGCTAAGGGCTGAGAAAAGAAACCAACAACTGCTCCACGGATACAAACGTCAAAGAACCCTAAGTCACGAAACTGAACGAAGCTGAAAGGCAAAAACGAAGCTGAAAAATACCCTCAGACGGGTTCGGAATGATCTGTGACACATCAGGCAAGAGTGCTTGCAGCCAAAACACCCAAAGAAGAACGGCATAATCTGGATATTGACCTAAGATGACATGAATCAAAACAAGTGGAGCCTGTGCGATAGCCCGCAATCACAGATAGCTGAAATTGCTGAGTCCGTGGCTCGGCACACTGATCTCAATGTTGTTGGTGTTCTGTAGGTTTTGAAGCCTTGGACGCAAAGATCAGTGGATCTACGCATCTTGGTGCTCGCACCGGTGAAGTCCGCCGAACCGGAAGCGGAACCTTGTGGGGTCCAAAGCTGTATTTTGTAGAGCTGTAGAGTTGGCTATTGTCCAAAAACTACCCTTCCGAAAGGTAGGACACTCAATGTTTCTTGTCCCTGCGGTCCGAGGTGTGTCCTCTTCTTGCACCCCTCCTGCTGCCAATTGGAACATGCTTTGCAGGAGTAGCTGTTGAACTCATGTATGCGTTGATGTGCCACATAATGGGCAGCGTATGGCAGAGTTAGTGCACCAACATCAAACTGCGACTGTTTTGCAAACCAAACACGAGGGGTCACGCAGAAAGATGTTGTATAAAGTCCTCGTGAACCCCAAGTCAAACATGAGAAATGGTTTTGTTCCTATATATTATCCCGAATATATATATATATATAGAGAGAGAGAGAGATACATTGTAAAGGTTTCATCTACAAGCGACGTACTGAGACACGGCTGATACTGCGGTAGTATATAGTTGCCAAATACTTGTCAACCAAGAGAAATACAAAGCCTTCCGAAAGTCGAACATTTATTGCAGCTTTCGGAGCTACCAGGCAGACCACTGAGGAGTTTGAGCGGCTTTGTCAAGATACTCCCTCTTCCTCTGTGCTACTACCCACCACATCTTCGCTGCAGGAAACTAATTCATATCTCTGTCTGTGTGTGTGCAGCTATGTTCTGTATGTGACTGTATGTGTATAAAGTTGTAAAAATCATACCACTACCCTAAAAGGACGCAATTAATTCGATTCATGACCAAAGGCATAGAATAACATGCGAAAAACCGAGATGACAAAGAACCTGAGAAAGGAGAGGACGAAAGCCAGCAAAAGCGCACGGACTTTTTTAGCGTGCGCGCAGCCATCGCGCACACGCAGCATTCTGCTAATGACGGCCACAGAAAAAAATCACTTTGTTATTTCGAGTGATCCCCACCATGACTATCTGCTGACATTTCCAATGATCCCCACCAATTGTCCGGGTGAAAGGTGCAAGGAGCTGAGAAGCAACAATACGTGAGCCAACACGACAAAAAACAGCGATGCCCGAAATATGTGTTTTTCGCGGTGATCGGCGATATTTCGGGCATCGTGTTGAAGTCTTCCACACATGGTCACAGAAGAAAAAATATCACTTAGTTATTTCGAGTTATCCCATCATGACTATCTTCTGACATTTCCAGTGATTCCCACCATGACTGCATCATCAAACCGTTTTTTTGATGCTTTCCTGACCCTACTTTTTTCGCTCTCCCCCACCAGGCTCAGGGTTCGCCCTCCAAAATCTGCCCGAGTGCGACCACCCCCCCCACACCCCCAATATGCACTTCGTTCACCCTAAGAACTCAAGCCTTGCCTACCGGCTGGCTTTCGTGATAAGTGCGTCTGAGGCCAATATATTCTCTCACAGAGATACTTGCACTTGCCAAGTCACTCCACAGCTTCTCAAAGCTTCTAAACAGGAACATGTTGTACTGATTGATGCGACTTGCCTGGCCAAAAAGGTCTAATCAGGCTCACCAGGGCAGGAAAGGAGGAAGAACGATACTGAAAGAACTCCGTCTGTGTTCTTATTCAGTTCACACCCTAAAGATCCCTAAAGTGTGTTGGTAGATGTGGGCGTGCATCAGCTGTCTAGGTTCTGCAACCCTCAAATCAAATGGTTGCAAAGGTCTGATTCTGTCCGTGGTCAGCATGTCTGTGCTCAGGCCTCGTTCGCTGGCATACCTGCTGCTTTGAGGTCCTCCCATGCACGGGTCGCTCGCGCAGCTTGTGCGTCGCGTATAGGTTGTTGTTCTCCCAACCTCGACGGCCTTGTGCAAGCGTGCCAGCAGCTTCAGCCTCGAAAAAGACTGAAGCAAATCGAAAGTGTCGCGTGACGCGTCAATGTCAACATAAAGCTGCTTGGACAAGAGAAATCGATCGGATCCCAACACAGCATTTCTGCCCATCATCTCTGCTTCCTGCCACGCATAGTCACACAGGCAACATAGGTAGAATTGTCTTCCACGATTCCACGCTTCGCACCTCAACCATTTCCTTCTCTGGAGAGATGCAGACGCAAAACTCTTGACCTTGTTGAGCAATCGATTTTGATCCCAAAGCGAGGGATGTGAAGAACGTTACAAACTGTCACTTGGTACCTAAGGTGTAGCAGTGTGGCCAAGTTTTATTGGTGGATCTTCTCCTCTTCGAGAAGCTTCTTCACTCACTTGAGCTTCATGCCAACCTCATCAATCTTGGGAGCTGGCGACTTCTTCCTCTTCTTGGTACGAGGAGAAGCTCCTTCATCTGTCGTGCTCCCAACTCTCCCTGGACTCTCTATCTCCGTCACATGGTCGATCCGTCTCCTGCATCGCATCCATGAGTCGGAGCATCAAATCGAGCACCTGTGAGAGTCGCGAAAGCGACGAACGACGAAGACGACAAGGACATCTCTCGGCCAAGTGGCTCGATCGGCATGTCGCGGGTGTAGTGGGGTGTCTTTGCAAGCCCTTGGCAAAGAAGAATGAGGCCATGCAAAAAGAGTTCAGTCTACGAGTCAGGCGCAGTTAGTTTGTGCTCCATTGGTTTCCTTCACTACAGGCTTACCACTAGGGTCTTCACAGCGGGGCTATTCGCAGGGGAGGTGTTTCATTTTATCAACCAAGAGACCAACAGACCTGACCCTTTTTTCATCGGCTTTGAGTCACTGACCCTTTCTTCACACCGCGTCCACCCTGGTCTTTGGGCCTCGAACGAATCAAAGGTGATTGAACATCTGCTCACTTTTGCTTGGCAAAAGCGAGAGGATTCCGAACTCGGATGTTGGCACATTGTCCTCAAGCCGCCCCCACCATGACTCTGCCTGAGATTCCAATAAATTTTCAATGTATGCAAGCGTATGAGAGCTTACACTAAGAACATGTTGGGCTCAAAGGCTTGCACTCCAGGCCAATCCCAAACCTGATTGGCCAAAAAGACGTTTGTCCTCAGCAAAGCTCATGGAAGCCCGAAAGCCCATGGAAGCTCATGGAAGCTCGCGCATGACTGTGTGTCCATTAATGATCTGGTCTCCAAGTTTGGTGAGTAGCCACAAGTGACCATCAACAACAGCAGTGTTGAGAATGACAAATCACATTGACAGCTGATCAATGATCTACCCTACCCCTGCTTCGCTGGGTCATGTGACGCTGTGGCACGAAACTCCGCCAGTGCCATCAGAGCAGCCTGACGTATTCTGTCGAAAAAAGGTGCCCTGAGGTTCAGGGAAGTTAATCAGCTGTGGAATGAGACCACCTGAAAACTCAAATGTGACCACAACCTGGCAAAGGAGAAACCGTTTCTACCTTTTTCGGTCTCTCTCTCTCTCTATTATATATATATACAATATCGACTTAGAGAAGTGCGTTAAGGTACTTAATTACAATGGACTGTCCGGGAAGACACAATGACAACAAAAGCCACTCTCTTGCACCTCTCGCCGTTTGAACGCTTCCCTTGCACAAGAGAAGGCCGAATCACAGGCGAAGAGCGTTCATTGTCACAAATCGAAATGTGTCTGGCCTGATAGCCGTTTGGAGTGGGAAGACCAGGGAAAAGCTTACTGCTGTCCACCTGCAGGGAAAAGATCGGGACCAGTTGGAATCCGCCCCATTCTCTTTGAACTATCTTCAACTCACGCGGTTCTAAATGGCTTTACTAAGGGCGTGGCGTCAAGTTCATGTGCAAGTTTGGCAAATAGTGGACGAAGCACAACACACTCAGCACGGCCTCATGTTGTGTATTCTTTGACGGTCAATTCGCAGAAAGTCGCAGAGACTTTGGTGCTGTCGAACAGTCCGACTTCGGTTTGGCGAAACATCTTACGAGGTCGCTCACCGACCTGTCGTTGTTGGTCCACTAGTGGCGGTGCCCAAGTCCACTCTGACTGGCCCACTCCGTTCTGAGGACTATTCCGTGAAGTTCACGATGATGGTATCAGGGCTGGCCATGAGGTTCAGCAGCACCGCAACGCTCGCAACTCGGCCCGGGTGAGCCAGAGGTTTCCATGGAAACACAGAACGAAACAGAACAAAGACTGTCTCTTTGAAGATAGAAATAGAATTAGAATGGAATAGAAATGTGACTCGTCCAGAAACAACACTGTGATCTGACAACCTACAGTACATTACAGTACTATGGTCTGTCATACTCCAAGTGTCAGGCACTGGTCCAGAAGCATGGCAAGCCATTGCCTCAGAACCATGTGCTCTATATATCATGGTCGGAGGCTAGAGATCTGAAGCCGCGAAAACGTCTGCACACGTTTGCAACACAGTGCCTTGGAACTGAGACGGTTGAGGCCAATAGTCCGCGGCTTGCAAAGTGCTTGAAGCAAAGAGTTCCTGGCACGCTCACTAGTGAGCTTATGCAAATGGCAAAAAAAGATAACCATTCACTATTTGACGTTTCCCATAAAAGCATAGCACTCCCAAAGATCAGATCTTAGCAGATTCGATTCAAATGAACCTGATGACTGATGACCTACTGGAAGCCGTCCTGGCTCATGTCGCTTACGCCCCGGCTCTGGTTTCCTGTGCGTCGGGCCGAATGGCTTTTGACACACGTCCGACCATCAAAACACCGCTCGATCCTTAGGTGCACCCGTCCGGAATCGACATGCATTCCTTCTCCAACCTCAACCGGAGATCGGAGACTTCGTCGGTCCTTTCGTCGGAGTGAGATCGCTGAAAGTCAGTCATAAGGTCCTGACCCTCTTGACTTGACGACTTGCAGCTGAACAAATGAGCTGAATGCTGCGAACAGTGCAAGCAGGGCAAACAATGCCAGCAAATTTCGCTCTGTCATGATACAGGCAAGACTGGCAACAAGGGGCAAGGGACACCATTTGGGACCATGCACGTACTGACGGTGATAGTGGACAACAAAAATCGGTCACCTCTGCCACCAAAGATCTTCCGAACGGTGCTGCTGCAGAGCCTGAGAAAAATTCCTTGCTCAACTTGCTGAACGCTCTTTTTGTGCCGTATCATTGCGTGCTCCCGGTGACTTTCTGTCATCGACAACCAACCAACCTCTTTGTCTAAGGCCTTGGCTCCCCTCACATGCGCCGATGGCATAGTAATACCTTTGCTGAAGGAGACAAACTACACCTACAGCTGGGCAAACACCAAGAACAACCGGGCGCCGGTGCCTTCGGGCGGACCTCACGTTCCGTGGTGCATCCGGCCGTCCGGGGAACCACACGTGAATGCATCCGACTCCAAGGTCTGGGATCGGAGTGCCTGGTGAGCGAGCGGTTGATTCCGGCGAGCCGAGCCTCTTGGGATGGAGGAAATCGATGCAGCTGCAAAAGCCTATATAACACATTATTCTGTGGAAGGACTGTATATATATATTATAATAGCATGCAGCCGATTTTGTTTTCGCTTGCAGTTGAAACCATAACATATGGTCAGCACATACCGAAGCCCTTTGTTCAAAGCAGAAAAGGACAGCAGCGTCCTTTGAGAGGGTTATGAGCCCAACCACGCCCACGTGGTGAGGGTTCTCGTGTTTTTCAGGTTGGAGTGTTCGCCATGAGCGATGATGCCTCGCTGGAGCGAACTCCTGAAAGTGGTGGCGTGAAAGCCATAGAAGATGTCCCACCTTCGGCAGGGGTCATCGCACGCCCGCAGGGACCTCCGACAGTCCTGGGTCCCGCCAACTGGAATCCTTTCTGGAGTGAAGGGATGAGGGATGAAGCGATTTTACGGGCCATTAGGCCGATAGACCTTCCTTCTGAAGCTTGTGCCAGGTGAAACTCCCTCAGCGAGTCCGCCTTGTGAAGGGGCAGAAGCTTTCAAGGCAATCCTCCAGGGCTTGATCAATGAAAATGCTCGCCTCTGGACGGAGAGAGAAAGTTGGGGTCCACCTGCAGGTTCTTGGCCTCAAGGTCCACCATGGATGATGCCGGACGGTGTTGCTCGAGAGAGATCGTCTTGGGGGTCTATGTGGGGATCCATGAGAATGCCCTCAGGGACACCTGGCATGCCCATGAATGGAGGACTCCTTAAACCTCTCGCGAATGGTGGTTCTGGTGGGGGAGGGCAAGCTTTTCATGGTGGATATGGTGCTTCCTCTCCTCATCAGGGGGGGTCCGAAGACGAGTTTGATGGAAGTGTTCAACCGGGTGTCTTCGGCAGTGGCAGGTGGTGTCATGCAATCGCTGCTCCCAGGTGTGATGGACATGTCTCGGGCGCTCACAAAGACTGGCTCTGGGGTGGTGGCTAAGGAAGTCTCATCGACGTTGGGAGCTGGGCCAGGTTACTATGAGGCGGGGGGTCTCAAGGGTGGCACCGCTGCGGTTCCAGGTGATTCGGGACAAGATCATGGAAAGTCGATGTGTGGCCCTGGTGAAGCCACAAGTGAAAGGGACCAGTCCGTGAGGGGGTCCACGAAGACGGACAATGGGGTTCCTTCGGCAGGTCAAGGAGGTGATGGTGTTCCACGAGGACCTCCTGCTTGGGGAGCTCAAGGGCAAGGGATCTATGGCGACCTGGGGGGACTTCAAGGAGGAGTACCAGGCGGCGGTCTTCACGGCGGGGGTGGAGGGGGCGGCTTTCCTGGCCATCCAGGCCATCCAGGCGGCGGTGGTTTTCCAGGTGGAGGAGGACTTCCAGGACCTGGGCGAGGCGGCTTTCCTGGAGGTGGAGGCTTCCCTGGCCATCCAGGCCATCCAGGCGGCGGTGGTTTTCCAGATGGAGGAGGACCTCGGGGCAGGTGGATTTCCTGGTGGTGGTGGCTTTCCAGGCCCTCCAGGTGGTGGTGATCCAGGTGTTCCATATGCTGGCGTTCCTGCATGGCTGGGAGGGCTCATGGCACAACAGGAGTCGGTGAGGGCTGTGGATCTTCCCGCATTGCCTGAGTTGTCGGAGTCGGAGATTGGACCTTTGATTGCCGGCGATTGGTTGACCACAGTGGGGCCGTTCTTGCGGGATATGAGTTCGAGCTCCTCTATGTGGTGGGATGAAGTTCTCAACGTGGCAGGCGCCTTGTATCGTGTCTGGTTGAACTCTGAGCCGATGGAGCGTTTGAGGCTGGTGCCAGTTGCTCCGCCTGCCGCCATGGCTTCGCATTGAACAGCGGGGGTCAGTGGCATTGCTCAAAGCCATTCCGGAATCACTACGGATTGTGTATGTGGATGACATCCTCATGGTTGGAGCCAGGTCTGTCACCGATGCAGCCTCAGCGACAATCCAGAATCGATGGTCGACATCGGCGCCTGAGTATGCTGTCATGGGAGGTGGGTCAATGAGGTTTTTGGGCATTGAGATCCAACGCCGGGAGGATGGCTCCTACTTTCTCCACCAAGAGTGCTATGCTTGGGAGATCATTGACAGACACCCAGGTACTTCAACCACACAGTTCGTCAAGGCCCCTGAGGAGTCCGAGCAAGAGGAGGCGGTGTCGCTGCCGAAGGTGAGAGAGGCCCAAAAAATTACGGGAGAACTGCTTCGTCCAGATCTGGCTTGGGCGGTGATGAAGATGGCCCAGAATGCAGTCAAGAGACCATGCTGGACGATCGAATTAGGAAAGGCTGTTTTGGCCTATGTGAGGCACACGTTGAACTTTGGGCTCCACTACACCAATGGGGTGCCGGAGGACATGAGTCCGGATCTTCGAAGAGGGCAACCTCGTCATGCAGGTACCATCGAAGTCTTGGTGGATGCCTCTTTTTCTCCAGGTGACAGCCACAGTGTGTCCGGCGCTATCATCCTCTTGGCGGGGTGCCCAGTGCAGTGGGAGTCAAAGAAGCAAACTCTGACGGCGCTTTCCACTGCAGAGGCTGAGTTGACAGCCATTGTTGAAGGTCTCCAGACTGGCCGTTCGGTGCGAGCGTTGATCCAGCTCCTCATTCAAAAGGTGAACCTCGAGATCTACAACGATAACAGAGCTGCAGTGATTCTGGCCTCTGGATCAGGTAGCGGATGGAGGACCCGTCATCTCAGGATTCGCGCAAGCTGTCTCGCTGAAGCCTTGAAAGAAGGTGAGATCACCTTGAATCATCGTGCTGGCACTTCGTTGTGGGCTGATGGTCTCACTAAGCCGCTCCCTGCTCAGCAACTTGATCGATTTTGTCAAGGAGTATGGTTGGGCGCTTTGGAGCTGGTGACGAAGGACCTTGAGAAAAAGGGGGACAGTCATTGTGTCGAGATCATTGAGAACTCCAAGGCCCTCAAAGCATTGTCTCTGCTAGCGGTGGGCGCAGCTATGCTTCCAGGAGCACAAGCCGCGGAAACGCATGGGACAAAGGAGACCCGGGGAGAAGTTGAAGAAGATCCGTGCAGGTGACTCTTCAACCAGGAGAACGCCACTTGGCGCCGCTCGGCTTGTCATTAGAGGTCCCTCCTGGGTGCTATGGAAGGATTGCTCCTCGAAGCTCGATGGCATTGAGAGGGGTTGATGTCGCCGGTGGTGTGGTGGACGCAGACTTCAGGGGAGAGGTCAAGGTCATCCTGGTCAATAATGGTGCCGAACCGTTTGAGGTGAACGTGGGTGACAGGGTGGGCCAGCTCATCTTGGAAAAGATTGAACGGGTGAGTTAGAGGCCTCTTCTTCGCTGTCGGCCACTGCAAGAGGAGCTGGTGGCTTTGGGAGCACTGGACTGGGTTCGGTGCCATTGTCTTCATCTTCGCACTCCCAGGCCGTGAGCTCAGAAATGGAGGGGGCATCTCTTCGACGGCTCTCCACAGGCCGAGAAGATCAGATTGAATCAATGGAAGCTCACCGCAATTGTCTTCTTTGATGGAGTTTTCTTCGCTAGGGAGGGCGAGCACTTGCCGCGCTTCGTTCGACGGCTGAGAGATGGGGAATTGGCTGGCTTTCGTTGGATGTTCCCAGATTCACTCATTGACGAGCTTGAAAGCCCTAGCCAGAGGTCACCAACTACGTTGCAGGTGGAGGTTCAGCAGGGCACCCTCAACATCATTGCGTTTAAGCACGGTGAGTGGCGGAAGAAGCTCTACGACGCACAGGTGGGTGCTCCGCCTTCCAGTGACGGGATCACGGCGGGTGTGGTTTCCCTAGGCAAGCTGGACGACGGCCGTGTTTTTGCCAGGGTGGACAACCGCCGAGGAAATCGCTCAATGGGCTACTTGAAGCAAAGCTGGACCGGAGTTAGCCTCTTCTTTGCTATGGCCAGCTCCAAGGTCCACACGTGCTGAGTCGAGACTCCGAATGACATGGGGGTGTTCGCAGTGAGAGGGAAGTGTGCTTAGCCTTTTGTTCTTTTGGCCTCGCACAGTGTGGGAATGTCGTCTTAGGCCGGTGAACAGAAGATGCATTTTTGAAACCTTCTTTTGTGACACACCTCCAGCATCCGAGAACCCTGACCCGGCTGCACCTTGCACGATAGAATCGCGAGGGGAGAGCATGCAGCCGATTTCGTTTTCGCTTGCAGTTGAAACCATAACATATGGTCAGCACATACCGAAGCCCTTTGTTCAAAGCAGAAAAGGACAGCAGCGTCCTTTGAGAGATAATAATATATATATATATTAATATACATGTAGATACATAGATGATGCATGTTTGGTTTTATTGCTCCATTCGGTATGTCCGTCTTTCATGGTCTGGTTGAGGAATGACATGCAGTCAGATGTACACAGTTCTCAGTTGTCTGAATATCCCAAGGTTCACCAAGTTGCTGCAGTAAAGAGCTGCATGGAAAGAAAACGATAACAGGGCATGCCGCATGATCTCATGTCATGTCGCCATGTTGTAATTTCCCCAGCATCCGCACAAGCCTCAAGCAAGGCAACGGCTCCAAGCCAACCGCTGGCAGAAGTGACGTCCATAGCCTTTGAGAAATGAAGGTTAAACCTGAAACCTGAATTGGTCAAAGTCACTAAGCTTCCTGACTGCATTGAAGGTGACGATGCTTGGCCTGCACAACGGGGGACACAACAAAGAACAGCGCTTTGCCCAAACGGCCAAACCTGCCTGAGTGTCAGCTTCACAGCTTCTCCCAGCAGCTGCATGGTCTGGAATTAGGGTAGGGTTGGCTGGGACGGCGGAGCTGAACGAATCAGCGGATGGGAAGGGTATGGAAAGGACGTCTCTGCCTTGTCATGAAGGGCCTGCTCTCCCAGAACTGTGATCAATGCCTCGCATCTCACATGTGTCACATGCTCATGCTCAGGTCTGCCCCGCTCGCACTCTTTCTCTCTGTGTAACTATTGTCGCAGTGTAAGGCTTGGGCATTGTAGGTTGCTAAAGCAGACTCACTCTGAAGCATCGGCAGTGACAGAAGATGGAGGCACCTGAAAACATTCGGAGGATGCAGCTTTTCTCTTGAACAAAGCAGCGCCCTCTGACCATCCCCACACACTTCAGAAAAGAGCTCGGAAAAGCACACATTCAGAGGTGCGCTGTGTGCACGAGCGCTTTACTTTTATCACAGATTGGACCCTGGCTGGTGAACCGAACGGTGAATAAGTCCGCAACAGCAGTATTGTTTGAACAATGGTCACACGTAAAAACAGGTACGTCCGAACAGCGTCTCGTTGGGCAGTGAGTGATAACGGTCCACTACCCCCCTGCGGAGCTATGTACAGTAAATAAAGTAGCGTCCCTAGAGACAGGTGTTAACTAACACACACACACACAGCCGACTTCGGCGCAACTAGACTAATTAGGGTAAGGTCGACGAAACCTGAATAGCCACCTAACAAGCCTTAGAAAAGAGAAAGAGAGGAAAACGAGCAGAGGAAAAACCGAAGAAAATCGAAAAAATGGAGATAAAAAACTTTAGATGCGTGCAAGAGACCTTAGCAACTTAACAAGTTTCTACAAAGAGAAAACCAGCAGAGAAGAGAAACGCATCTGGAAGGAGAGAAAATGACCGCAGAACACTGATTTACGGCCTAACAAGCCTCTAAGAAAAGAGAAAAACAGAAAATAAACGCATCTGGAAGGAGAGAAAAGACTGGAAAAAAAAAACTGGGCGTCTTCCGAACAGTAGTGCCGAATGAAGGCACCTAACAAGCGAGAAAGTTGACTGCAAAAAAAACTGGGTGTCTTCCGAGCAGTGGTTCCGAATGAACGGCAAATTGAGAGAAACGCATCTGGAAGGAGAGAAAAATGACTGCAAAAGCCTGAGCTACGGCCTCACAAGCCTCTAGGACCGAGAAGAAAAGTAGAGAAGAGGAATATCTGGAAGGTGACTGCAAAAATCTGGGTGCATTCAGATTGAAGTACTCTGGATGAAAGGAACTCCGTAGAGATGTGACAGTAAATTGCAGCATAAGTTCAAAGCTTGGAGGGTGAGACACATTCAAAGATTTGATTCGAGCAAGAGAGTCTGCGTCGTAAGTTTGTCCAAAAAGGAAACTCAGGAAGTCCTCTCCTATGTCTATGTAGGAGTAAGAGCTCAGTAACGGCGCCCCTGCTGCGACACATACTTCAGAAAAGAGCTCGGAAGACCCAAAATTCAGAGGTTCGGGGTGTGCATTAGCCCTTTACTTTTCCTGCAGGTTAGACCTTGGCTGGTGAACCGAAAGGTTAATAAGTCCGCAACAACAGTATTGTTTAAACAAGGGTGAAACGTGAATAATGTATTTAAAATCCTTGCAGGTACGTCCAGATAGCGTCCCTTCTGGATATCACGACCAAACTATCACTGTCTTCGTTGGGCAGTGAGTGATAGTGGTCCATTGCCCCCCTGCGGAGCTTTGTACAGTAAAATAACGTAGTGTCCCTAGAGACGGGAGTTAACTAACACACACACACACACAAATACAAACAGCCAAGCACCTGATCCACTGGCTCCCTTGAGCAGAAGCCGTGATTGCAGCCCCCAAAGCAGCAGCATCTTGGCAATGCTCCTCCTTCGGGTAGGAGGGGAGGATGAAAAGCTTTACAGGATAGAAAAGAAAGGTTGGGATAGGATCGCACGGGTTTCAGAGGTAGAAAATACACACTCAATATACGAGAGACCGGCATTGTAATTTGTATCAATGTGCAAGCTCCTCCAAAGCTGTCACAGCACTTGCCCAACTGCTCCCTCTGCCGGCTGCCACTGCCACTGGATTCACAGTGCCAGCTGTTTCTTTCAGTCCAGCTGCTTGGAGACGCTGTCGAAGTTGCAGCGTCGCCTGCCACCGATCATTGCCTGTGAATCTCAGCTGACGCCCAAAACATTACCCCACAAACAGGCTGTGGGTAAAAACCTCTCCCAACAAACCATGGGTTCAGTTGACATCCCGAACATAGAGGAATCTGTTCATCTTCAGGGTCAACCGGGGTCCCTTCTTTTGAGCCTGCCAGTTGAATGATTTTTGCCTATGCAATAACCGGCCTGCCAGCACACTGAGGGCAGCATTGTAAACAGCCACATCAAACTCCACCAAGGCGAGTGCTGCTTCAGACATCAATGTCATTGACACTTCCCACGCTCCCTCAGCACCAGCTGCAGAGATGCCTGCACATGTTGTGCGGGCCGAGTTCTCGCTGATCTTCACTTCTTCCAAAAGCCACGACGACCACCACCACAAACCGCGATCGCCACAAGCTTTCATTGCAGCATTGTATCCAACTCTGTCAGCCGCCACCGCAAAAGATGATGCGCCGGCAATGAGTTGAAGGCAAGCGAACCAAGCCAGGCCAGTGGCGCAAGCACCTGACGCTGAAGACATGAAGCAGTTCTTGACGCCTGTGACTTCTCGTCGTCATATTTATATAAGCTACTAGGAACAAGTGCATCGCTACTAGTAACAAGTGCCTTACTAGTAGTAACAAGAAGCTATTAGGAACAAGTAAGCTTACTTGTTCCTAATAGCTTCTTGTTACTACTAGTAAGGCACTTGTTACTAGTAGCGATGCACTTCATCTTGGCTCTGCCCCACATGCTAGCCTTTAACTTGCACGTGTTTTCCGAGCAGTCCGACAGTGCAAGTAGCCTGTGTTTGGCAGCTTGCATGTCCTTGGCATGTTTATGACATGCCAATAAAGCATCGAAGGCCTATCGCGCTTCTTCTGCTCCAGGCTAAGAACCCAGGCAAAGAACTTTCAAAGAGTTTTTGCTTCGGCTTTGACCTTCTCCAGGAAGTCATCAATCAAACCTTGATTTTGGAAAGTCATCAACGGATTCAAATAACTGTCCGAATGTCCAAGGTCCAAGTCCTTTGAACACAAGCAAAATAGCTACTTGGGACTGGGTCTTAGGCTGCATGTGTCCGCCTTCTCCTCCTCCTGCAAGCCTCATGGCACAAACTGAAAGTATGGAACAAGCTGCTTTTTGTGTTGTGCCGTCAAGTTGTCAAGATTGGTTCAGTTTTGGCTATATATATATTATACTGTATATACTTTGCCTCCGTCCAAAGAACAAAAATATCTTCTGCGGTATTCCTCTCCATGGATTTTGACTCAGTGAAGTTCAAAGAAACGCAAAAGATTGATTTGGACCAAGAGCCAAGAACCTGCAGAAAGCAAATGTGTGGAAACCACCCGAGAGTCTCCTTCAAGCATCCAGGGGTGGTTCAATGGTTCTGTGGCTACAAACAAAGTTGCGCAATTGCTGCTCGAAGCCATTGCCAGGGCATAGAGGATCTCTTTGCCACCCACGCAAACCACCGCGTGAGCCTCCCACAGGGTGGCAGCTACAATGGCGAACTTCTGGGCTTCAGAGCAGCTTGAGGCTGTGAGGGCAACACTGGCCGGAAGAATTTCCACGTCCATTTTCTGGGAGCAATGCTTCCTCACGAGGTTCACAGATTCACCGACACCTAGAATGCAAAGCTGGACTTTCGACCTGATTTCTCGCGGGCGGCGCAGATTCCGACGTTGGTGAACGGGAACGGCCAAGAATGTCTCCAGCATGGCAGGGCCATCTTTCTTTAAGCGTGACCAGGCAGATTCAGGACTAAACCAACCCCGACGCCTGTCGCCACTACCTTCATAGGATGAATGTGGGTCGTGCCAAATGTCGTTCCCTGCATCATCCACAGAGGTGACTTCCATGGCAAAAAGGTAGGTTCGATTCTTCTCTTCAAACACACCCAGGAAGCAACCGAGATTTCCTCGTGCTCCACACTCTTCAAAGGTTTCACGGCTGGCACAGCGAGAGACTTCCTCCCCGGGATCGAGTGATCCAGCAGGAAATGTCCAAAATCCAGGAGTATTGAGACCTTCAATCAAGAACACCTCAATCTCTGACTGACCCACATATCGCCATGGTACAGTGCCCGCACGAAGCTTCTTTCCCTCCAGTTTCACAAGGGTCTCTTCCAGCTTCGGCTTCTTGACACGGCCAGCATCTGGCGGCGAAGCCACCGTTGCCATCCAGATGTCTTTGTTTCTTTCGCTGCTCCTTGGGCTCCAAGCCCCGCCTGTGATCCAAATCAAGACGACAGACTTGATCAATCATCCACCAGCACGACGGATCCGCTCACCAGCTCGTCCGCCCGGAGTGGGAGTTGGCCATCTGAAGGGGGTTCTAGTTTGACCCAAACGAGAGCGCCGGTCATGGATCACAGCCAAAGTCACAAAAAGAAGAAGTCGACAAGCAATTCCTCAAGATTTGCACCTATTGTCGTGCATACACTCGCAGTGTCTGCCTGGGAGCCTCAGTGTGATAAAATCCTCCTCAGTTGAAAAACCTGAGAATCTTCAAGACATCTTGGCCTTGGTCTGCCACCACTGCGCAAGAGTTGCCGAAGAAGCTCCATAGCAACCACCTTAACTTATGCAGACTAGAATCTCTCTCCAGATATCTCCAGTCTCTTTTAGAGATTCTTGTGTCTCCTGTCAAACGGCACTTCTCCAACAAATTATAGACATTTTATCAACCTCCTGTCTTATGCTTTCGCCTTTCAACATGTTGGGACAACCGGGGGGGTTGCCCCGAAAGCACACCTTCCCGACGACCCAACATGGTTTTCGGGGAGGGCTGGGGACAGCATCGTTCGTGTTACTATTCGCGTAAATCGACATTCACGTTGCGCTTTCGGCTTCGTGACGTTTCGTTCGTAGTTCTACTCGCGTAAATCGACATTCATGTTGCGCTTTCGACTTCGTGACTCGACACTCGCATTGCACTTTCGGCTTAGAGGACATGGCGGGCTCCACGTTTGAGGTTTGTTTGCATTTGTCGTTAGTTCTTTTGTTGCTTTTGTCCGGTTTGAAGTGCCCTTTCCCCAATCAGCATCTGAGGGATTTTTTCGCGGCTGACCCCTTTTTTTGGATGCCCACATTGATGTTTTCTCCCGAAAGGTAAAAAGCGGGAGACACTGTCCTGGTCTTATTTGAGTGTCTTGAAAATCCACTCAGGTCAACGTCTTGGAGTTCATGAAAGGGCCAAAAACCATGTAAAACGCATGCTTTTCTAGCCCTGTGCATGTTCCCTCGTTTACCCAACATGTTGCACTGGGCCTTTCTGGGTGCAGGGCCCAGTTTCCACACGCAGCCATGGCTGCATTGTAGCCTAGAAGCACAAATGCACAAGGTACAAGAGGCAAATCTCAAGCGATTGCTGAAGACAGGAAGTTCTGAAATCCAGTTGACACAGAAGTACACGGGCCACTCCTGCTGTGCCCACAGCCTTCGTTGACACACCTGCACCAAGAGGTTCACAAACACACCGTTCGCCCGCTCCAGGAACCCGTTCGGCCTCTCCACGGCTCGCCTCGCACCAGCTTTGCAGCCTTGGCTCGATGAGTTCAGTCGATCGTTCAGACACGTGCTCCCTCAGTTCCCGGCCCATTCCCACGCAGCAGAAGAAGCACATGCAGCCACTCCTGCCTGGCTTGGGGGAACATGCTCGTGGCCAGGACGATGGTTCAGGTCGTTCATTCTGACAAAACTGTCAATGTCTTCATTTCGAAGGTCTGAGGCTGCTTCATTCCAGGTGACTGACACCTCTCCACCCTTCAGAACACAGGCCCGTAAGAGCAGACTGTCTCTCAATCTTGAGATTGTCTTTGCAACTGAAAGACTTCGTGTGTTCTGCCTTCGCTCCATACAGCCAAGCAGGCTGCTCGCGAGTCAAACTCAGTTTTGACAAAGCTGCAACCTCATGAGGTCGAAGCTGAAGACCAATCAAAAGGCTGCCACCGCTACCGTCTCCCTCTTCCAAGGATCCGGCCCAATAACCTCCCCTCTCCTGGCAAGCCCCAACTATCATAGCCAGCCCCACAGGAAAGCGTCAAGCGCCGGGTGCACGAATGCCGTCAACAAACCTCCTATCGTTGAGGCCGTTGGCCGCAACCGGCTCCGCGTTAGTGAGGCTGTGAGGGACAGTGACCTTCCAGTTGTTGCTATCAACGTCTAAGTTTTATAGATCCTTTTTGGGCTCTAATACTAACATCTGCCTGTTCCAGCAAAGCGTCTTGCCGCACATTGCAATGACAATATTGTGCCTTGTGTCGGGAATGCTCTCGCTTTCTTCACTCTGCAGATTGAAGGCACTAAGAGTGGAACGAAATGAGGCTGGCCAGTGCTCGAGTCAGGGAAATCTGCTCACAAGAAGCACAAGAATCTGCTCTGGTGCTGGCCAGGTCCTGGCCTGCAAGAGGGTCAAGCAAGTTGCCCAATGTGGGAGGCTCCTGTCCACAAGCACCCTTCCAAGAACGACGTGTGCTCTTGTTTCTGCAATATAGGCATGTGATGGCATGTGCATTTCAGTGCACCATCGCGAATGTTCCTGTACTATCTTGTTTGAAGATTACATCGTTCCAGAGACCAACAATGCTCGAATTCAAACCGGAGCCTTTTTCCCTTATTTTCCGCACCTGGCCACTGCTGTCAATGCACAGCCAGATACTACCTGCCATTGTGAACTATCAGCAAGTCAAGCAATCTACTTGAAAGATCTTGAGAGAAAATGCAGTGGTCCAAACATGCAGGAGCCTGTGTGACCTCAAGTGCCAGCGTGGCAAAGCTATCCAACAAGAAGACAGCGGAAGCCTGAGAGCAGGCTCTCTGCACACAGTAGCTTAAGAAACCTCCGATGATGCATGTGAAATAGATATTAGATGATATTAGCTTGGCTGGATCGCGTCAGGTTGTTTTCTGACTAACTATAGATGACTACATATGGCCACATATAGCTCTAGATCCTTTCTCTAAGGATGACTTCTGTATAGGTGACTTGCAAACCTATCTTTTGGATTCTTTTGGCTCATCACTCGTCTGAGCCTTTGGCCCAGTGAGCTGATCGAAGAGCGGCATTAGCCGCTAGGGTGACGTCTGCCTCTGTCGTTCGTTCCCGGCAAACTCTTGAGATCTGGGCTTCTTTGAGTCATTCCTCTGAGTCATTACGCACGTCCAACTACGTATGTTCCGCATTAGACCGTCCACCCAGACAGCATTTGGGATTTAAAGAAAACTCACATGCCTACTTATGCAGCCGCTCAGTCTCTGACAAACTGCCAACCGGATTCTCAATACGAAAGGCTAGATGAGCAATGCGATAATGATATAATGGTATGAGGGGCGGTGCAAAAAGGTGCTGATTAGGGCCTATGACTGTGTGAGAACAAGACACGGCATATAGGTGAATTGCCAGAGCTCCCAAAGTAGACACAGTTAAGAATGCTGCTGACTACGGGGCAATTCTGGAATCCTTCCGGAAGTGGCATGCCAAAGTCTAGATCTGCAAGTTTTGAGATGAATCTCTGCCTCCACTGCAGACTGTTGCAACACCTGCAACTTCTGAAGATCCTGCCACTTGCAGCGAGTTTGCACGAGATGTTACCTTCCCTTTTTGTTTCAACGAGCTTGGTGCGGTGATCGCTCGTGGATGGAGTGAACACTTCCGCTCTGCCTGCTGCCAAGTAGGATTGGCATGACTCACCTGAAGCTGAGAGCTCAAGTTGCCCGAACTCGCACTGCGCGCACGTCGCTGTCGCTGGCATGACTCACCCTGCCTGGTGCACTGCGCGCAAAGGCTGCATGCCGAGCAAGTGAGCGAGTCATGACAAAAGTGTGGAAAACAGCCCCCGGCATGTCAACAACGCTAAAGCTTTCAGGCTTGGAGTTCATTCAACCTTACACTACAGCATTATAGATAGTCAGGGGGAAAACGGCGGCAAAAACCAGTGACCTTCAGCTGGTCTAGAAAGAACTGTTCCAGGAAAGTGGGTTCAGTGGGCTGTCCTTCAGTCGGCCCTCCACTACATTGGCACCCTTTTTGCTTGTCGTTTCAAGCTGCGCTTTTCATCAGCAAGCTGCGCAATATGCAACGGTGGATTCGTTTGGGCAGTGTCAAGCCTTATTTTGCAGGTCATGGTTCAAGGATGGTCATGGTCGGAGTCACAAAATGTTTCATCTTCTTTTGGGCATAGCGGTATGGCAAGCTTCCTGACGGAAGTGCGCACATTAGCAAATCCTCAATGATTGCAATCCTTCGGACAGCATCCTTTGGATCATTAGCTGAAGCTGCCATGTGAAGGCAACGTGAGGAGAAAATGTACAAGAATGAGCATTGCTTTGCAATGTCAAGAGAATGGAACATGCAGCGCATTTTGCGAATCTACGGATCAAAAGTCGCACATGGTGTGCCGACATCAAAGCTTTACATTGCACATGTGATTAGACTTGAGGGCCTATGCAGCAATCGGCACTCTTGGAGCACTTGGAGCATTCAGCACAGGGTGCGCTGAAACAAGTTGGATCTACGTCCTCGTTGTTGAAAGCTTCAAGCTCCGCGAACTCAGGAAGGTCTTCCTGCGGATTCAACGAGCTCTTTGGTAGACCTGTGAGCCTGCGGCAGTGAGAACAAGGACGGCAGCTTGCTGGGCCAAAGTAAGCTAAAGGCAGCAAGTTGTTGCCACAAGAATGCATCTTGTGGAAATGGTGTTGCATTTCATCACTTTGGTTGTTATCAAGCTGTTTCATGCGCTCGTGACTGCCTAGCAAAGGTGGAATGTATCCAGAAGAAAAGCAGCTTGTCCACCGGCCTTTCCACTGGTGTCATTGGAGTGAGGGGACTGAGATGATTGGAGTCGTCCAAGTCATCGTGTCCTCCTTCATTGACCTCAAGTCATCGTTGCCGGTGTCCGATCGTGTTCCGAAGCTCTTCCAAAGCCGAAGCACGCGTGGATTCTCTACATAAACAGCTGGACTGGCTGTTGATTCGCCCGTTCGTTGAGGAAGTTTATGGAAGTCCAGAACAGGAGATTGGGACTCGTGATGACTCGTGGAATCTCTCTGAGCTCTGGCTGAAACCAGCTGCCGTTGACGTTTCAAGAGCTGCCAAGCACCTCACTTGCGACAACGCTCCGTTTTCAGAGCTCGCGTGGCTTGCACTGGTGGGGTCGAGGCCCTCGAAGCGGCGGATGTTCGTTGAAGGACCCTTTGAGTCTCTGGCCCAAAATCACGGCGCACACGATCATCACCGCACAAGCAATCAAGGCCACCAAACCAGCCTATCAAATCTATCAAACAAACAACTGTTCACACGTCTTCACGCGATTGAGGTCCCTATTTGGGGTTCATGAAATCGTCCAACAAACCGAACGCCGAAGACTTTTGTTGGGATGTTGTATCTGAAACACTCCAACCCTCTCAGGCCACGGCCGTCGTATCCGCCTCGGGCGAAACCATAGCGTTTCGGCCCTCGTCCCTTCGTGGTTTCCTGTGCTTTTTGCGGTCGAACCCTCGCTCCCCTAGCCAAAAATATACCTTGGCTTCAAATTGACGGATGTTCCCCCTGCAAAAACCACTTACATCTTTACAGATTCTCTATAATAATATGGAAGAGGTTTTGACCCAATGCGGGGTGCCATTCGTCCCTTGTAGATCGACTCAAATAAAGCACAATAATCATCGACCCTCAGCTGCAGGCCTGTTGCTCTGCCTCAATGACACGTTCATAGCCACCTGAGGGAATGATGAGGGGATCGACGGCCTCAGGAAGTGCGGCCCACGTCCCTTTGGCACCGACGACCATCTAAAAAGCTTCTTGTTACTACAGGTGAAACGATTTGTTGTAGAATTTCACAGGTCAGGGCTTATAGCCAAAGTTTTGTTTGAAAAAGATTTATAAGTCTTTTGAAAAGACACCAAAAAACAAAACCTACAATCCCGCAGAAAGATACCAGCAAGGTGAATCCAGAAGTTTGGACTCAGGAAACATTGTACAAATACTAGGAACTTGCAGGAAAATGCAAACATACATACCAATCAAGCAAACCCTGGGCTCAACAAACTGCGCATGGCGCACGGCCATCTGTGAGTCTGTGTGAGCCAGCTTGTCTCTTTTTTCCCCTGTGACTAGCGACTTCTGCCTTCAGTCTATCATCAGCTCCGTGGCTTTGTTGGGTGACAAACGCTTCTCTCAAGCATCTTGCTCTACACCACGCAAACAACAAAGGTTTGAAAGGCAAGGCCTTTCACTTGGAGGCTGAAGTATTTTGCTTCTTGCCATTGCAAAACATCGGCTATCATTCCAAAAAATGCTATAGTTAAAAACAAGGAACCATAACTGGCAGCGCTGGCTACAAACAAGATTGTAATTCCAAAGCAAAAGCTAGTATATATTCCGATTCTAAAAAGAACCATGCCTGGCAGCGCTGGCTACCAAAAAGTTATGATTCAAAAAAACGTTATAGTTCCAAAAAAAAGAGAACCATAACTCGCTGCACTGGCTACCAAAAAGTTATGATTCCAAAAAAAAAGTTATAGTTCCAAAAAAAAAGAACCATAACTCGCTGCACTGGCTACCAAAAAGTTATGATTCAAAAAACAAAGCTATAGTTCCCAAAAAAGGAACCATAACTTATGATTATTTTTTCAAAAAAAAAAACATAGCCAAAAACTATCAAAAACCGTTCAAAATCAAAGGTGTTTGCTAGTTTGGGGCTCTGTAAATCTAGGTTTTTCACTAAAACACATAGCTCAAAACTAGCAAACACAATTGATGTTGAAGGCTTTTTGTTAGATTTAGGCTATGCATCTGTTTGGAAAAAAAGAATCATAAGTTATGGTTCTTTTTTTGAAACTATAACCTTTTTTTGGAATCATAACTTTTTTGCTTGGAATATTTTGGAATCATAACTTTTTGGTAGCCAGTGAAGCCAGTTATGATTCTTTTTTTTTGGAACTATAACTTTTTTGGGAATCATAACTTTTTGGTAGCCAGTGCTGCCAGTTATGGTTCTTTTTTAACACTGTTTTGGAATCAAAACTTTTAGGTGGGCTGTGTCACCAGTTATGATTCTTTTTTGGGGAAACTATAGCATGTTTAAGAATCATAACTTTTGGGTGGGCACTGTCCGCAGTTATGATTTCTTTGTGTGGAAAGCAAGGGCGATTGACAGAATCTTGACTAGACATAAATCTGTGGATGTTCGTCAGATTCACACACTTGATGTTTGGATAGTGGTTGGCTCGGCGCGGTTGGCATCCCTTTTTATATTGAACCTGGTGGCAGCATGACATGCGCGTTCACACACATAATGTGTGTGTGTTTGTTTGTGTGTCTTTGTGGTTATCTTAAAACTTAAACCTGTCGTATACATTCTTAATTTTGGCCTACTTGTCAAACTGAGATTGGCCGTTAATAAAGTGGAGCCATATGGAAGCTCTGGAAGCACCATGCACCCTGCGACATAAAACCAAGACACGAGGATTGCACTGAAGCAGGAATTGGGATTGATTATGGTTTTTGTTTTCAGTTCAACCATCTTAAAAGTTATGATTCTTTTTTGAACTGAACCGCCTTGACTTGCGAAATTTGCTAAAACGATTCCCAAGGAAGCTTCTAGTTACTAGAAAGCCTTGGAATACACAGATGGTTGCGCATGACGCAGCCAGTCGTCCAGGTATGTTATATATGTATATAATATTGTATAGTTAATGTATAATTTTTGTTTAAAGGTATAAAGCGATATTGTTACTAAAAAGCTGTCGACTGCGTTTCGCACCGAGTCTGCGACCGTCTGCAATCTGATGGAGCTAATGTGCGTGATGGACGCCTCGCATGGAGAGGACAAATTAGATCGAAAAGAATCTATAGCGGAGCGCAGGGAAGTACTTGATGATCCAAGCATTATTTCATCATATGTCATCTACCAATGGTATATATGCAGTTCAAACTCCCACCGAAGACCAAAAAACAACCTCGCCCGGGTTTGACCAATTTCAACGGAGCACGATGTCACAACTGAGCCCCGAGGACTCAGGTGTGAGGTGTACATTGCGCCATCTGGAGAGCAACGCTACGACCGGAGACCACGCAGTGACTTGGTACCCGTTCTGTGAAGTTCCGAAGGGAGCTATGTCGCTGCAACTCCTCATTCAGCCAGGTAGTGGCCTGCAAAATCTGGAACTATGCTCTCGAGAAAGTGTGAACCAAATTGCCCCGCCTGCTGGACTGACACCAGTTGAATGATGCTCTTGGCACGTTGTCCAATGGCTTCAGCTCCACCCAAAGACTCTGTGGCCGGAGTGGGTGGGACCACAATCACCTGCAAGAGCCGCTTGGCCGAGTCCAGCAGCGCACCGATGCGGCCCGGGCCGTGAAGCACCACCGGTGGCCGGTCGAACGGCTTCCGACAGTGGCCGCTCTGAGGTCCTCGCATAGTCTGCGCGCAGAGGACCTTCCTGCAAACGTCGTTTCGACCTGCTGAGCCTTCGAGAAGTGCAAGCCTCCCCTTCTTGGAAAAGCACGTCCTGGAAAAGCACTTTTCGCGAGTCGAGAAGTGAAAGAATCTGACAGACGTGATCCAGAAATCCTGTGATTGAGCGATCCGTTCCAAATAAAGCGGTCTCAATGATGGGAATCTGGTCATTGAGCGTTTGTAGTGGGGAGGAATGAGAGTGGCATGTGTTCTCCTGCACGTACGTGTATTCCACTTCTGGTCCAGCTGCCTTTGCTATGACCTGCAAGCTCAACCAAAGCTGATCGAGCATCCAATCCAAATCATTGATTCCAAATCTGCTATATAATGTCCACCTCTACTACTGAATCTTCCTCGGTAGAAACAGCATGTGCCTGCTTGATTGCTTCTTTGGCTTCAGGCTTGGCAATGAAGGCCAAAGGGTTTACCACCGAGAGACCAAAACCTGAAGCTTCAGAAAGGCAGTCAGACAAGCCACACAGCAAGGTGTAACACAGCCAGGTGTTCTACACTTGGACAAGCCACACCCACGGAGCACGGCAGAGATAGGAATGTATGTTGTTTCCTGTCATCAAAGGTTCCTTTTGGCAGTGCTTTATCAGCAGAGCTACAAAATGTCGACTTGCAGCATATTCGATTTCAACGTGTGAGAAATGAACAACTGCAGCAAGCTGGGTCAGTGAGGCCGTTGTAGTGGGAACGGTTGATGTGGAGAGTGTGGTGACTGTCGTCACCTTTGCGCAATTGCACCAAGATCTCAAAAGTGTTTGTATCATCTTGCGACCAAGAAGCTGTTGTCGAAGAAGTTGTTGTGAAAGATGATGTCCTCAGTGGCTTTACGACTAGATATATAAAGGTGTTGCAGTGTATCACCTGTCTTATTGCAAGCTACATCGGGTAAACGGCGGAGTTGGGGTCAGCCTTCTCACACCAGCTATTTGAGATTTCGGGTCTTCATACAGAAAACAAAAGAATACAATGAATGATGTTCACTGATCGAGTCATTGGATGTTTAATCCAGGTGTCACTTCTCTTTCAGCGTCAGCCAAAATGAGCAGGTTCTTGAGATGATGACTTTGTGAGAAGAAAATTGGGTTTGCCATGAAGGAAATGTGGTAGTGGTTTCATGTGGATTGACACCTGGTGTTATGCGCCTTCAATGTCAGGTAAAGCAAACAACCTACAACGGGAAACGGAAGAGAGGCAATAAAACATAACTGATTAAAGCTTGAAAACAGCAAGGCAGCGCATCTTTGTGCCAAAAGCGGACCCTGGAGCCCCTAGTAGCGTCCTTGTTCCTAGTAGTAAGGCCAGGAGCCCCTAGTATCGTCTTTGCTCCTAGTAGCGATGCCAGGAGCCCCTAGTAGCGTCCTTTGCCCCTAAAATGGGAGTAAACCAAAGGAATTGTGGGGTGTTGTCTTCGCCCGATTTGGCTCACAAACTATTTACGTTCATTACCGCCTTCACAGTTCAGTGAGTCACTGAGGGATCAGTTCGTTCTGCCCACAATGATACGTTCCTGTTGATGCGCGTCTCCACAGTGATACGTTTGCTGCCGTGTCGTTCGTGGAGGAGCAAAGTCCCTTCCCATTCCACCTGAGTACCTCAACTAAAACTAAAGGCAAGACACGTGTAATGTGAAAAGAAACGTACTCTTTTGCTTTATTGAGATATGGAGTGTGCAGGCCTTCTCAGACACGACCCACGGTTTCAGCCCAGGTTGTGTTTGGCATATTCGCTTCGCCATGCTGTTCTGGGCTGTCCAAAGTTTCAGGTCACCTAGCAGTCTGCAACAGATTGGCTCAAATCGCTAGTGAAGTGTTTCCCCGAGTCACTGCTTTCATTGTCGTCATTCCCACAAGCATAATCAAATGATGGTCAGGACAGGAGGTTCCCCGGAAGAATGCGAGAGTAGCTGAACAGGGCCACTAGGGAGAAGGTTGAATGCACTGCTTGGTTTTGTGCCCAGATCTTTCCAGTTGTGGGGACAGCTGAAATATGTTTGCGCATGCTTCCAGCATGTCAGCTTTCATCCTGGATCGTGGCAAACATTCTGGTCGGAAACCTTTTAATTTTCAAGCTGTTGCAGGGCTGTTGGCAACATCACCACAAGGGCGCAGAAGATCCACCATGCCTTCACTATACCCTTTGGATTCGCCATGGTTTGTCAGAGCCAAGGAGCTGCCTGGAATCAATCTCACTGTTGGAAACTCATTGGGGCAGAAGTTGAGCGAGGTAGGCCAGCGGGCAGCCTGTAAAAAAAATAGAGTTCTGTTTGCGTAAAAGTCCAACCAAAACACTGACGAAAACCACCAACCATGAAACGTTCAGCCATCGACTGCCATTGGGAAGGTTGGGGAGCATAAAGAGAGGCGCCTTTGTTGAACATGCCTGTCTTCAGGATAATCCATTTGGACAAAGTGATAGATATGCTTTCGCTACGTCCCTTGCACTGTTAGATACTTTCGCTCTTTCCTTGCGCTTGGACACATGTTTACGATTATCAGTTTCTGCAAAGTTTGCCGGGTGGCAAAATAGTTGAACACAAATGTTGATGTCTTGAAAACGGCTGTTTCGACAACATTCTTGACTCTCTACACTACCTGTATACTGTATACTGCAAACGTTTTGACAGCTTTCATACTTTCTTGGCCTTTTGCACTGGACTTTGATGTTTTGACAAGTAGTTGCAGTATGTGTCTTTATTTTTCATAATTGTGTCACTGTGTGCTGACATTACAGCAGAAAAATGCAATAATGCGCGAGGGAAAGTCGAGGGAATGCAAAAATCATCAAACATTGAGAAACCGAACAGTACGCTTGGGGAAGAAACAAAAACGCAAAAACACGACCAGTGTTGCAGCTCATCGGACGCTGATTGTCCAAGCATCCAAGTTTTGCTACTCGTGGCCGTCAACGTCACTGACGTGGCCTTGCAACAAATGGCACTGACATGGCTTCGCTTAAGATGCTACAAGCGAACACAAATCCCGCCGTCGATGTGGTAGCAGATCTCGTCGTTGTGGTTGTTGTTGTGGTGGTGGTGCCTCTGAACATGTGAACATTGATGAACAGTGACTACCCAGTGCTCTGTTCCCTATAGGCTTTTGTGAGCTTGCCCATGTCCCCTCCCCAATCAGACAGGGTGAGAGATCAAAAAAATATTTAACGCATCAATAAAAAAATATTCCACACGCATCAAAAAAAATATTTAATGAGTCAAAAAAATATTCAAATAGCAGTAGCAGTAAGAGTAGCAACCGGACTATAGCAGCAGTATCGTAGTGGTAGTCGTAGTGTTTCGTGGCAGGTGCAGTACTTTGTGGACCTTGCAATGCACATTTCGTGGCATGTGGATGTTGAAGTGCAGAGTTGGTGGCCGGTGGTAGGCGCAGGACTTTATGGGCCTTGGAGTGCAGATTTCGTGGCAGGCGCAGGACTTTGTGGACCTTGAAGTGCAGATTTCGTGGCAGGTGCAGGACTTTGTGGGCCTTGGAGTGCAGATTTCGTGGCAGGCGCAGGACTTTGTGGCCTTGGAGTGCAGATTTTGTGGCAGGCGCAGGACTTTGTGGCCTTGGAGTGCAGATTTCGTAGCAGGCGCAGGAGTTTTTGATGTGGAAGTGTAGAGTTGGTGGCAGGTGCAAGACTTTGTGAGCCTTGGAGTGCAGATTTGGTGGCAGGCGCAAGACTTTGTGGACCTTGAAGTGCAGATTTCGTGGCAGGTGTAGTACTTTGTGGATGTTGAACTGCAGATAGACAGATAGAAAGATAAATGGATCGATAAATACATAGATAGGTATATAGATTGATAGATAGAGAGATAGAGGAGGCATATTTGCTTGGTTAGAAAAATTTGGCACCGGGGAGTTCACCTTAAAATATTGATTTCGTGGCAGGCGCGGGTGTCGGGGATGAAGTGCAGATTTCGTGGCGCGGGGGGGG